GGTAGGAAAGTCTATGAGACTTCTCTCCAATTAACCACCAAAAAGCTGAAAGTGGGTCTGTTGCTCAAGTGGTAGAGCACTAGCCTTGAGCAAAAAATCTTAGGGTCAGCACCCAGGCCCTGACTTCAAGGCCCAGGACTGGCACAGAAAAATAAATTTTCCAACGTTAATAAAAACAGTATTATAATTGATAATGTGAGGATATAAATAACACAGTAAAGGCCTTTGTTTATTTCCTAGTCCTACAGCTTCAACTCTGAGACTGAGCAGAGTCCCTGAGTTTTTCTGCTCAAAGCTAGCATTCTGCTGCTTGAGCGACAGCTCCACTTCTGGTTTTTTTGGTAGTTAATTAGAGATAAAGGCCTCAATGACTTCCCTGCCTAGGCTGGCTTTGAATTATGAGCCTCATATCTCAGCCTTCTGAGTAGCTAAGATTATAGTTGTGAGCCACTGGTACCCTAGGTGCCCACCTTAAGGGCATTGCTTTGAAAATTACAGCCTGCCACTTAGTTTAATTTCTCTCTGACTCAATATTGGCTTTGATGCAAAACCGACATAAACTCTGACAGAAAATTCAAGCATCATAATTAAAATTGACCTTCTCTGTCTTCTATCACGTGATTCTTTTTAACTTTGTAGTTGTTCTTCATCATTTTGACTGAAATGTTACGGTTCTGATGATTATGATCATTAAAAGACAGCTTTATCAAGCTGGCGGTGGTTTACACTTGTAATCTTAGCTACTCAGGAGGCTGAGATCTGAAGATCACAGTTCAATGAAAGTCCATGAGACTCTTATCTCCAATTAACTACCAAAAAGGCTGAAAATGGAACTGTGTCTCAGGTGGTAGAGCACTAAGTTTAAACACAGAAGTTCAAGGACAGCACACAGGCTCTTAGTTCAAGAACCCCAGAACCAGCATACACAAAAAGATACATTTATCAGAAAAATATGGCACTTCCAATACTTAAAATTAAATATTATAATAGAAAATGTGTATTTATTTTGATCTATACAGTACTCTAACTTTATAGTAAGGGTAGGTAAACCTGAAGAATGTCACACTTGGAATACCTTGAATTTTTTTAAAAAATCATATGACAACAATTTTATTTTGATCTATGCAGTACTCTATAGTAATACATTTTATTCTTTGCAATTTAGATATTAAGTAAGCACAGTTATCTATCTGGATTTTCAGTGGGAAACAAAGAAGTAAAAGAAAGTAGCAAGGCCTTGGATATAGCTCTGTGGCAAAAACACTTGTCTAGGATGTGCAGATCCCGAGTGCCAAAAAAGACAAAACAATACAGTTAATCCCACTCCCCTCAAAAAGGTAGCAAGACAATCATAATAGGTCAAATGACAGTGGGATCTGGAATTTAAAAAATCACTGTTCACCCATGTTTTGTTGATGAGATTATCTGATCTGGTTGAGGAAGTTTGGAGGGAGTAATTAATCCTGTAAAATGCTATGTTTATTTAGGACTTGAGAACAGAATGAAAAGTGTAAAGGTATTAGGCCTTTGGAACTTCTAGATTAATTTCATTGCTGGGAGCCACTGGGTCATACTTGTAATCCTAACTACTAGAGAGCCTGAACATGAGAGAATTGTTCAAGGCCAGGCCTGGCAGAAACATGCTTGAGACAGCTATTCAACTCCTAGTTGGGAACAAAAGCAAATGCCTACCATCCTAACTATTTGTAAGGCTGAAATTGGGAGGATTTTCTTATTCTAGGCCAGCCCAGGCAAAAGGTTTGTAAGACTGAATCTGAACAGAGGGAAGCTGGATACTTTGCTAGGGGCCTGTCATCCCATGACCAGGCTGCAGGAGCAAAATTCTACCTCAAAAGTAACCAGGGAAAAACATGGCAGGAGGCATGGTTCAGGGGTAGAGTGCCCATTTTGCAAGCATGAGGCCTGAGTTCAGAAACTCAAGTACTGAAGAAAAAAAATAAACAAGAAAGAAAGAAAAAGAAAAAAGGAAAAAAGAAAGAAAAAGAAAAGATTTGAATTTTCCAGTTACTAAGAATATTAAGTACTATACATTAACATCACAACATAATTTACATAATTTAACATTACAACATAGTTGTACAAAAGGAGGGGGAAAAAACCTTTAATATGGTATGTTAGGCTAGGGTCTTCACTCCTGGAACCTTTTCTTTAACTTTGTCTCTCATCAACCACTTTACTGAATATGTTCCTCCAATAAGAAACCCTTTCGGATGATTGAGTCCTCTCTTCCCCCATCTGCATCCATTGTCTCTTTATTTGGGCCCTTTCCAGACTGTGCTCATTCTGTCTGGAATACTTTTCCCTTACCATCTTCATTGAGTAATTTCTATTCCCCTCTATAACTCAATGTAGAAAAGGCTCAGTTGATCTAAGTTATTTGATATGTGTCCCTACAATGTTCTCATAAATAAACCCCTCAGCTTCATGAAAGTATAAGATATATGCAGAGCCAATATCCTTCTTCTTCATATTTTGTGTCTAATTCCTAACAGGAAACATGCTTTTTGTGGTAAATGTTTCTCTTGATTGAAACTGAAATTGAATGTGAACAGTTACCCATTAAACAGTCATGGACTGCTTACTATAAGGCTCATGTATCATAGGGAATCAAAAGCTCAACATAGGCAAGGGGTGCAAATAATAATCAGACTTCAGCTGAAAGGTATCCAGGAATTCAGACCAGAAATTTCAGCTGAGAAATAGAGCATGTAGCCTGGGCCACAGCATTAAAGAATAGGTTGTTTTATTTTATTATTTTTTTTTTGGGTCCGGTTGTGGGGCCTGAACTCTGGGCCTGGGCGCTGTCCCTCAGCTCTTCAGCTCAAGGCTAGCGCTCTACCACTTGAGCTACAGCGCCACTTCTGGCTTTTTTCTTTTTGCTTATGTGGTGCTGAGGAATCGAACCCAGGGCCTCAGGCTTGCAAGGCAAGCACTCTACCACTGAGCCACCTTCTCAGCCCAGAATACGTTGTTTTAGAAGGAAAAGAAACTCCAGAATATATTAATAGACATCATTGAGTTAAGCCTCAACTGTAGAACAAAAATGCTTTGTGTCTCATCTTCATGACGAGCAAGTTTTATTGTAAAGGTGATGTACAGAGGGGTTACAATTACATAAGTCAGGTAAAGAGTACATTTCTTTTTAAACAGTGTAACCTCCTCCCTCATTTTTCTCCCAGTTTTGTCCTCCCAATCCTGCTGGCCCAGAAGTTGTAGAGTACATTTTCAACATAAATGCTAAAACAATTTTTTTTATCAAAGTTAGGGGGTGAAAATACAATGACAATCTTTGTATTGGAATTTAAATTATTTGATAACATTGATATTGTTTACTTATGCAAAAACTTATCCTTTTCCAAATACATTTAGAATTGTAACAAATGTATACATTAATGTAACCACCACTTTGATCATGAGATAGACTACTTTGTTACTAAATCTAAAATAGATTATTATACCACCACAGGCACCTTTTAGAGTCAATTCCTTACCGGGCCCGTGGAAACCATAGGTCTGTTTTTCTATCCCTATTCTTTTACCCATTCTACAATGGCAGATAACTGGAATTAGAAATTTATGGCCAATGGAGACAGGCTTTCTATATTTAATATACTGTCTATTTTTTCCAGTCCTGGGGCATGAACTCAGGGTCTGGGCACTGTCCCTGAGCTTCCTTTGTTCAGGGCTAGCACTCTACCACTTGAGCCACAGCACTATTTCTGGCTTTTGCTGTTTATGTGGTACTAAGGAATCAAACCCAGGGCTTCATGCATAATAGGCAAGCACTCTACCACTAAGCCACATTCCCAGCCACAATATAGTGTATGAGTTGGTCATGGGGCTTGAACTCAAGGCCTGAGTGCTGTCCCTGGGCTTTATTGCTCAAGGCCAGCACTCTACCACTTTGAGCCACAGCTCCATTTCTGCTTTTTAGGAAGTCAATTGAAGATAAGAGTCTCCCAGACATTATTGCCGATAATCCTCAGATCTCAGTTTCCTGAATAGTTAGGGTTACAGGCATAAGCCACTTGTGCCTAGCTAATTGGTTTTGTTGTTGTTTTGGTTTATTGGTCAGTCCTGGGGCTGGAATTCAGGATATAGGTGCTGCCCCTGAGGTCTTTTAATCAAGACTAGTGCACTAACACTTTGAGCCACAGCACTACTTCCACTTTCCTGGTGGTTAATTGGAGATGAGTCTCATGGACTTTCCTATCCAGGCTAGCTTTGAACTGGGATCTCAGCCTTCTGAAAAGCTAGGATTACAGGTGTGACCCACTAGCACCTAGCTAATTCAAATTTGTATAACCATTAACTTTTGTTATTATTGTTGTCTTACCCCAGGAGCTCAATTTCTGCAGTTAAGATTTCTTTTTTTTTCTTTTTGCTTATGTGGTGCTGAGGAATCAAACCCAGGGCCTCAGGCATGCAAGGCAAGCGCTCTACCACTGAGCCACCTTCCCAGCCCTGCAGTTAAGATTTCATGTGTGTAAATAGCAGCAAACTTGCCCTCAGGAAACCACCTATATGATCATAGTATCTCCTCTGTTAGATAAGAATTTATTATTAGTTTTTTGTGAGTTGTAGGTCTTGAACTTAGGGTCTGGGTGCTGTCCCTGAGCTTTTTGCTTAAAGCTAGCACTCTACCACTTTGAACAATGGCACCACTTTCAGTTTTCTGGAGATAAGAGTCTCATGGACTTTCCTGACGATGCTGGCTTTGAACTGTGATCCTCACATCTCAGCCTCCTAAGAAGATAGGATTACAGGCGTGAGCCACAGATATCTCGCTAATTGTTGATTTTTAATTGTTGGATATATGGTTTATTGTTTTCCTAGTGAAAATAATGGTTGGGGCAAGTATAAATAAAGATTCATTAATCAATCAAATAAATTGGTGTGTGAAAGAAAAAGGGAAAGTAAAAGAGAAGGGAAGGTAAAAGGGGAAGGGAAGTTGACTGGAAGACCAGGTGGTGAGGCATCTATGTGCTGTTGTGTCGCACATGGAAATTCACAACATACTGTGTATTTGACTTCTGCACAGAGATAGCAAAAGGCTCAGAAGGATGAAAGATGAAGGAAACAAGGTGTTGCACATTATGGTTAATGGGGCGACCTACTAAGCCTGTCTGCATTTGAAACTTAAGCAGACCAGAGTCTTGGGCATAAAATCTGATAGGGTGATCTTCATAAGCCTTGGGCCGCTCCATGACTGACACACACCTGCTATCATAGCTAAAGAGAGTCATATCCAGGTAGGGACTGCAACAGAAAGGGAACTGATCCAGTAGCCAGTGCCCAGAGTCCCCATGTTCCCCATACCTGTCATTTATAATTGTGTCTTTGAACTGGTTTTGGATGATCTGTCTTGTAAAATTGTTGCTAGATGATGAGCAGGTAAACTGGATTTCACTGTGTGGAGTAGCTTCTTGGAAGAGATCATAGTTCCCAAAGAGTTCCAAAAGTTCATCTGATGAATTCTCAAACACAGCCATCACTTCCGTTGACACCATATTGTACACCACAAACACAGATGCCTGGGGTGCATCTGTGGCATCTGTGACATCCAGTGCCATCAAGTTCTTAGTGTACTTAATCAACAGATGGTTTTCATCGAGAAGCTGCAGTTGACACATGCGCAGCTTCAACATTTGGTCAAAGTACCGGAAGAAGCTCTTCTTGGCGACTGAATTACCATGACGTTCTGCCTGCCGCCACAGGTACACGAGCATCCGGTGTTTCAGACAGTCAATGAAAGTATCCCTGTAAAGACTGATCAGGTCTGCCTGGCGTGACTGATGCATCTCAGGGAAAACAGCTGACACTGTGAGCAGATCATCCTCATAGCAGAAGCGGCCAATGGTTCGCAAGTTGATAAAAGTGCCATCAGGAGTCACCTGGAAGATACGGATGTTCTGGTGCAGTAATGACAGGATGGCTAGGATATTTTTGTACAAGTATAGGCCTTGATTGTGTGTCAAGATCATTTTATCACAGTGAAATGCTTGTTTATCACATAAGCGGCCAGTGCGGAGGTCAATGATGTAGAGACAGTAGTTCTCTATAGGAAACAGTGGATGGGAGGTTAGTGACTCACGATTCCAATATACTTCATAGAAAGGACGATGGTGTTCATATGGGACATAGGAAGAGGAGCCCACAATGACGTACTTGCTATCATTAGTGAAAATGCTACAGTCCAGGTCCAGATGTTCACCTAGGATTGTAAGCTTCCTAATGTGGAGCAAGACAAAAAAACATTCAAAGACCAGGCGCTGGATGCTGACTGCTGGCCGCCTACGGCCTCTGGGCAGGATTTCCCCCTCATATCCCTGCAGCAGGTTTCCTGCTGCCTGGCAGCCCCGGTACTTATAGATTTGAAGAGATGTCAGGTCAGATGAAAAAGCAAGAAAGTAGAGGCCATCAGGTGAGAATTTATGCAAGAAGCATGGAGGCTCATCCACATCAACCACTGTGAAGTTGGGAAAGACATTCTGATAAAATACTCGAACCTGATGCCAGTGGGCACCGGCCTTGCCTGAACTGATGCGCCGGCACTCTAAGCGGTGAACAATGTTCTGGTTTTTTATTCTTTGGGGTTTAATGGGGGAAATACCGGGCTCTATTATCATATCTTCCTCTGATTCTGCTTGCTGTGACAGTACCGTCCACAGACTAGTCTCCACGGTCTCCATGTTTTGGTCATTCAAACTCAGCTTCCAGAAACGTCTTCTCCCTCTGCATGCTTCAACCTCCGCTCAACAATTTCCAACGTCTGTTTCTCGAGCCTCAACGAGCTCCAACTTCCGCTTCACGAGCCTCAACGAGCTCCAACTTCCGCTTCACGAGCCTCAACGAACTGCAGCTTCCGCTCCAGGAGCCTCAACGAATTGCAGCTTCCGCTCCAGGAGCCTCAACGAGCTGCAACTTCCGCTCCACGAGCCTCAACGAGCTGCAACTTCCGCTCCACGAGCCTCAACAGTCTCCAACTTCCATTCTACCAGCTTCAATAAGCTTCAACTTCCACTCTACAGGCACCTTCTTCTCCACTCACCGGAAGTGGTTTTTGTTTTTTGGTACCTGACCTGAGCCATGAACTCAGGGTTTGGGTGCTGACCCAGGGCTTTTGTACTTAAGGCTAGTGTGCTGCCACTTGACCACAGCTTTTCTTTTTCTTTCTCTTTCTTTTTCTTTCTTTCTTTCTTTCTTTTTCCTTTTCTTTCTTTCTCTTGTTTTCTCTTTCTTTCTCTTTTTCTTTTTCTTTCTCTCTCTTTTTTCTTTCTCTTTTTTATTTTTCTCTCTTTCTCTCTCTCTCTTTCTTTCTTTCTTTCCTTCTTTCTTTCTTTCTTTCTTTCTTTCTTTCTTTCTTTCTTTCTTTCTTTCTGTTGCATCTTACAAAATTTCCTGCCCAAGCTGGCTTTGAACTGTGAACCTCAGGTCTCAGCTTCCTGGGTAACTAGGATCACAGGCATGGGCCACCGTTCCCAACCTTCTAATTTTTCTTTTAGATGTTCAGCTGGGCACTCATGGATCTGATTCAAGAAAAGTTATGATTTTAAAGTTAACATTATTTTTGTCTCATCCACAGTATAGAAATGACAGTCCTTTTGGTTTCTAAATTCTAGGCTAAAATGATAGTTCTTATGACTAAAATGTTGACATATTAATAATTACATGATTCACAGCTGGGTACTTGTAACTCATGTCTGTAATCCTAGCTACTCAGAAAGCTGCAAGCTGAGGCTGGAGGTTCGAAGCCAGCATGAGCAGGGAAGTCCATGACTCCCTTATTCTCTAATAACCTAATCAGAACAAGCTGGGAGTAGCACTGTAGCTCATGTGGTAGAGCCTTAGCTTTGAGCAAAAGAAGTTTAAGGACAGTGCCTTGGAACAGAATTCAAGCCCCAGGACCAGCAAAAAGAAAAACAGAAAAAAAAATTAGCTGGATGTTGGATCAGGCCTGTTACTTTAGCTATTTAAGAGTCTAAGAGCAGTGGCCATCTCAGACAGAAAAGTTTTGAGATCTTATTTAAAAAAATAACCAAAACCAGATGGAGGAAAACCTTAATTTAGCAAACAAGAGACCTTGCATTGACAATTTAATACTTTGAAAATAATGCTCAAGGTTCAAGTGGTAGAATGCTAGGCTTTAGCAAAAAAGCCCAGGCACTGAATTCAAGCCCCAGTATTAGCACAAAAAAAATCTTAAGTTGTGTGCCAGTAGCTCACATCTGTAATCCTAGATACTCTGAAGGCTGATATCTGAGCTGATATCTGGTTCAAATCCAGCCTGAGCAGAAGTATCCATGAGATCAAAGCCAGCCTGAGCAGAAGTATCTGTGAGACTCTTATTTCCAATTAACCATCAAAAAAGGCCAGAAGCGAAGCTGTGGCTCAAATTGTAAAGCATCATCCTTGAGTAAAAATGCTAAAGAAAAATATCCAAAACCTAAGGTCAAACATACACACAAAAGATTCTGTTAATCTTACCATATATTGTATCTATGAGTGTGTATATTCTGTTATTAATTTCATTCTCCTTAAGGTTTTCTTCATAGATAGTTACTGAAATTTTCACATATAGTGTCTAAGAATAAATTGAAAATTTACTATACATTTGTGGATAAGAATAATGAATTTTTCTTATGAATGCACTAATATTTTAAAAAATACATATCAATATTTTTCTAATTTTTCACTTTTTATTGAGCTTCATTTCCTGTTTTACATTTAATTATACTTATAGAATTCAAAAAGTTATGCTTCAAAGTAATTTTGACTCAATGTAACACATTTCGTTTCATTTTTATTTCTATGAAAGTATGCCAGATATATTAGCAGTCATGGGCCATCTTAATACATTAAAGACTGCGAATTTTTCAGGCTTTGGGATGATTTGAATCTGAACTAGAAAATCTTGTATTGATTTACTTCTCCCTTATCCTTAATCCTGTAGGTTCCTAGCACAAAATGGAGGATAAGGGAAGGAAATTAAAATGATTCCCATAATCTTTGTAGGATATGATCACACTTTTGTCCATTAAGACTTTAAGGGAAGCACAAGAGCGGACCTGAGGAAGGACCAAGGGAACAGGACTGAAGACCCAAAAATGAACCCACAGACCTATAGCCACCTAATATTTGACAAGGGAGCTAAAAAGTAGAATGGAAGAAAGACAGCCTCTTCAGTAAATGGTGATGGCAAAATTGGTTAACTACTTGTAGAAAACTAGAGCTAGATCCTTATATATCACCCTGCACCAGAATCAACTCCAAATGGATCAAAGACCTCGGAGTCAAAGCAGGCACTCTGAAAACATTACAGGATGGAATAGGAGAAACCCTAGGTCTCCTTGGTGCAGGCCATAATCTTCTTAATAGAGACCCGGAAACACAACAAATCAAAGAAAGGTTGGACAAATGGGATTGCATGAAATTGCAGAGCCTCTGCATGGCAAAGGACATAGCTAGCAAGATCAATAGAAAGCCCACAGATTGGGAGAAGATCTTCACTAGCCATACAACACACAAGGGTCTCATATCTAAAATATACCTGGAACTCAAAAAATTAAATCCCCCAACAACAAATCTTCAAAGAAACAACTGCCCAATAAATAAGTGGGCTAAAGACTTAAAGAGAAACTTATCTGAAGAGGAAAGAAGGATGGCCAATAGACACATGAAGAAATGCTCAACCTCTCTAGCCATAAAAGAAATGCAAATCAAGACAGCATTGAGATTCCACCTCACCCCAGTTAGAATGTCTATAATCAAGAAATCTAATAACAGATACTGGAGGGGATGTGGCTAAAAGGGAACCCTACTGCATGGTTGGTGAGAGTGTAAACTTGTTCAACCACTTTGGAAAGTAGTATGGAGGTTCCTCAAAGTCTCCACATAGAGCTCCCCTATGACCCAGCAATCCCACTTTTGGGCATTTACCCAAACGATCACAAACAAGGTCATGCCAAAGCTACCAGCACAACTATATTCACCATAGCTAACATAGGGAACCAACGCAGATGTCCCTCAGTAGATGAATGGATCAAGAAAATGTGATATATATATATATATATATATATATATATATATATATATATATACACACACACACACACACACACACAATGGAATTCTGTGCCTCCATCAGAAAGAATGACATTGCCCCATTTGTTAGGAAATGGAAAGACTTGGAAAAAATTATATTAAGTGAAGTAAGCCAGACCTAAGAAACATAGGTCCCATGTTTTCCCTTATTTGCAATAACTAGTATATATCTAGGACAAGCAGAAAAGCTCAAAAGCTATGTATATGTGACCATATAAGATGATACTAAGCAAAATGAACCCCCAAACAGGGACCCAAGTGGTTTTATCCATATTGCTGTTGTTTTAATGTATTTATAATGTACTATGTGATTTTTTTTTTGTTTCTTTTGTATGTTCTTCACCCATGGTATAACCCCTGCTTTCACTCTATTTGATTCCAGTGTCCTATATCTTGTATATACATTTTTTCTAATTTTGGGAGGGGAAGGAAAATAACAAAATGCTGAAACAAGGATATAGGTTGACCCATTGTAACAATGAGATGTACAAGACACTATGTCAAAAAGGAACTTTACAACTTGAAGTGGGGAGGGAGGAGTTGGGGAGGTGGAGCGAGAGGGGATGGTAGGGGGAAATCAAAGGAGGAGGTAACAATGCTTGATAGGAAATGTACTCATTACCTTACTCATGTAACTGTAACCTCGCTGTACACAATTTTTACAATAATAATATGTATGGAAAAAGCCTCTAAGGGAAACCAAAAAATAATATCTTTGACTCTCAGTCATTTCTTTGGAATTAGTGTACACTGAACACTGATACAACAGAAAACTTTATCTTCTCTTAAATCTCTGTCCAGCAATTCTTCACTGTGGCTTATTTTTCAATCCTCTTAAGAATTAAACAAAATAACAATATATGATACCTTAGGTGAAATAATTATATATCAAGGACCTTTCATGACATAACTATTGGGTGAAATATACTACCTAATAGATACTGAGGTCACTTTATACATATCATATCTGATAAAACTCACCCCAATAACTTTAGCCTAGAAGTGAGTTATCTAAGATCATGCAAATAGTTAATTATAACATCAAGGCTCAGATCTTGTAACTATCTGTTTGGATATTTCTTAAGTGGCAGAATAATGCATATCATATTTTAGACAAACAGTAAATATTTATTGAATTAAAGAATTAATATATGTAAATAATGTACATTTATATGATATATTATAATAGGAATAATGTTGAGCTTTGTTGTTGTGTTCTACAAAACACAAGTTGGAATTCTCTTCTGGGCGGCACTCACTAATTTTTATGTATGGAAAACAGCCAGCAGGATTGATTTATGCAACTTCAAACAGCTTCATATCCTATTCTGCATTTACTTTGCTCTGCCAAAAGTAATATAATTATCTCTTGGCTTCTTCATTTTAAAATCCACTGGGAGAGTTTCTGTAAATGCAAATACAATTATCATCCAAGTCATAGCTTTCAATAATGGACTAGGTGCTATACAAAACAAATCTTTAAAAGACACCCCTGCCTAAACTAAATATGAGCACAAACCAAACCTATTCTTATATTTGAGTCTTCAAAAAGAAATTATATTTAAAATTTCCTGACAGGAGGACACCC